ATTGGATATTTGCCAAATGGTACCAATCAAAAGCATGAACCTTCCTTCCATATCTAAGGTAAGTGTTCTCTGTCCATTGCCTCATCGCTAACGGACCTTGTGCTTAAAAGCAATGGTCCAGCAGTAAGGACGGGACAAACGGAGGAATCCTCTCACCCCGGAGCCCATAGTTGGGCCTCTGCGGTGCGTAGCCATGAAGGAGTTCATGGAGTAGTGTTTTTCATTGTGTGAGGTTACCCAGTGAATTCACTTTTGGACCATCTTACTAAATCAATACCCAAGCAAAAATTCAGAAGTCCATTAAAAATAAATAAAATAGAGTTTGAATAGTCAATAGATGCACAGTATAACATTTAAAAGGTATAAAGGGAAAGATAGGTATCTCCATTCCTTTGGCACACCTTGTCAGCAACAAAATTACCCAGAGGCAACCACTGTTGCATTTCTTTCTTTTTTTAAATATGTTTTATTGATTTTTTACAGAAAAGAAGGGAGAGGGATAGTTAGAAACATCGATGAGAGATCGATCAGCTGCCTCCTGTACGCCCCCCACTGGGGATGTGCCCGCAACCAGGGTACATGCCCTTGACCAGAATCGAACCCGGGACCCTTGAGTCCGCAGGCCGACGCTCTATCCACTGAGCCAAACCAGTTCGCCTACTGTTGTGTTTCTTGTGTACTCTTTCCGAGATATCCTAGCACCTTTATTATAGAATGGTAAAACACTATGTCAACGAGCCATGAAATTTGTATAAACTATTGTATTGATTCATTTTGCTTCATGTTAAGTACCTAAGCTGTGCCAGGTCCTGTGCTGGATTCACAAATACATGGTCTGGAGCCCCAAGAGTGTGGTGTGTGTATGTGTGTGCGTGTTGGGGATTAGGGAGTTGGGAGCAACAGTTACCAAAGGACAATTGGTATAAGGTAAAATGCAGTAAATAAAATGCAGGCAGAGTTCGTAGCTCTGACAGTATATGTAGTGGTTAGAACTTTTTCTCTGGAGTCAGGCAGATTTGGCGTCCAGCCCTAATTCTGCAGCTTGCTCTCAGTGTGACCCCTGTAAGTGACTGAACCTTTGTAAGCTTGTTTTTCCATCTGTCAAAACAGACTAATAATAGTACTTACTTCATAGGATCTTTCAAAGGAATAAGACAAAGTATACTAGGAGGTTGGCACATATTAAGTCTCAATAAATATCAGTTAAAAAAAAAAACCCACAAATTTTCAGCTACCAATAAATGTTGGTCATTTTCATTCAAGATCACAGTTCCTTACTGGAAATCACAAAGCTGTAAAAACTGGGCTTTTTTTTTTGTAATTTTTACCTATTGATTTGAGAGAGAGAGAATCATCGATTTGTTGTTCCATTTATGTATTCATTCACTGGTTGATTCTTTTTTTAAAATGTTTTTATTGATTTTTTTTTTTTTTTTTTTTAGGGCAGGGGAGGGAGAGAGAGAAACACCGATAGGCTGCCTCATGCACGCTGCCTTCAGGGGCTGGAGCCCGCAACCCAGGCATGTGCCCTAACCAGGAATTAAACCAGCAACCAACTGAGCCACACCAGCTAGCGCCATTAGTTGATTCCTGTATGTGCCTTTATCAGGGATTGAACCCACAACCTTGGCACATCCAAACGACATTCTAGCCAGATGAGCTACCCAGCAAGGACCAAAATTGCATTTTTAAAAAAGAACAAATTTGGCCCTAGCTGTTTTGGCTCAGTGGATAGAGTGTTGGCCTGCGGACTAAATGATCTCTTGTTCAGTCCAGTCAAGGGTTGCGGTCTCCATCCCCAGTAGGGGGCGTGCAGGAGGCAGCTGAGGATCAATGATTCTCATCATTGATGTTTCTATCTCCCTTCCTCTCTGAAATATATTTAAAATATAATTCAAAAATAAAAATTTGGAGGCAAAATATAATCCAAACTGAGGCTATTCCGTGGTCTTAATTAAGTATGAATATGCATGAGGGCACCCAAATTAGTATGATTATTCATACACTTTACAGTAGAAGTATCAATGTTTGATAACTCGGTACTGCCCAGGCCCTGCTGCTAAGTATTACTCTAAATTCCGAAACACATCTGGCCCCAAGGCTTTGGGGATAAGATTATGAGCTTGTATTCTTGCTAGGGAGAAAAGGGAAAGCTTTTTTTAGAAAGCAAGCTGTTTTTCTTAGTGCATAGTATTATTTTTCATCTTACATATCTCAGGAAAGTCCTGAGGAATCCTTCCAGGGTTTAAACTCTGCCCCTCGCTTGATTCCTGTATATTCAAGTGTTTGTGTGAAGAAAACGCAGCGAGCTTGGAGTCAGGAGGCCTGCATTGCCCCTTCACCAAGCTTCTCTGGGTCTGTTTCACGATCCCTATGGCAACGCCTAGCAACAGTGCCTGGCATTTCATAGTCTCTTCATAAACATATGTTGAATAAACACTAAAACGAGATCGTTTTTTACTCGCAGGTTCTGATTTCTTCCTTCCTCTTGGTCCGGTTGCAGGCAGGGGCAATGGCAGCAGCGAGGGTGCAGAGAGGAGGGATAAGTCACAGCCTCTCGGACAGCAAGGGACCTAAGCGAGTTGCCCCAGTCCATTCAGCGTCCCCCTGCAGGAGGCTGCACCCCCGATCCTACCCCCACTGACCCGTCTGAGGGTCGCTGTCCTTAAGAGGGCTACGGCCCTCCCTCTCTCGCTCCCTCCCCTTCCAACATTTGAGAGAAGTGTTAGCACTGGGCTGTCAGCTGCA